TTTTTTTTTTTTTTTTTTTTTTTTTTGGTACTGGGGATTGAATTCAGCACCATGGAGCTAAATCCCAGCCTAATCAATAAAGATATTTTGAAGGACTGGATCAGCAGACAGAGCCATACTTTACAGATCATTAGTAAATTATATTAGACATTTAAAGAATCAGATGAAAGTAAATTCTAAAAAAGAGCAAAGTCAAAAAATTTTCCCATAGACATGCAAATCTCATTGCTGTGTTTATCAACTGTAACTGATAGTTTGCACAAATGAGATGTATAGGGTGCATTTTACAAATAATTAGGGTACTTCCCTCTGCATGTTAAAACACACCCAGTAGTGTTAATTCTCCCATGATCCTTTTAAAAATTTTAGTATACTACAAGTCGATATTAATAAAGAAAATATAAAACACTTCTATAAGAAGATAAATTTCAGAACAAAATAGAGAGTGACAATGGTAAATACACTGTGTATCATAATCTTAATATATTTTCAATTGCCAATCTGTCAGTTCATCTCCTAAGAAACTTCCATGATCCTTGAATGAACATCATAACAAATGTTCTGACATTGAAGTAAAAAAAGTAAATCAGTCAATTGCATGGTCTTAAACTGGTAATTAACATTCAGTACTAAAATTTAAAGGGAAAAATTTATTTCCCCCAACTTGAGTGGGCAGTGGCAAAGGGGAAATGGTTGAATTGCTGTCTGTCCCTGCCTAGGTTTCTCTCCTAATGCTCTGCCACCACTACCATCAAGTAGATTGCCTTATGTCTTCCAAGTTGAAACAGGAAGGTGCAGAAAGTTCTTAGCTTGGCCACTACAGTTCAGTGAATTAAGAGTTGCTGCAGTACTCTTCTGAGCTTGGCAGGTGTTTAAGGCTGACACTTGTTACTTTATGGGTTCTTTGGAAACACCTCCATTCTAACCCCAATGAGAAAACATTGGTAATCTCTGGCTCGCCTTTGGGTAAATATATCTCATCTGGCTGTCAGCTTATTGTTAATTGCTACCATCTGTGAATACACTGCTAACGTACAAAAGTTTCTTCACCATTCCATGTGACCTATTTCAGTAGCAAAGTTGTGGAATTTCTTGTACTTTAATATCATTATGTTAGATATTCTCTTTTGCTTCTGTACATTTATTTCTCTCTGTTACTGACAGCATCAGCAAAGTCACTTCCCCTTTGACTTTTAGTCAGGCTCAGCCAACAAAAGGCACAAGCAGGAGATCAGAAAGCAATAGGAGAGAGGTATCAGTATTTATCACTCTCCATTTCTCCATGTTGGTCACAGGGTGGCAGTGGGCTTGCATCCATCCGCTCTTGTATGCCTGCCCATACTCTGATCATACGCTCCATTTGAATATACTATCTATTTCTTGCTTAGACCATGACTGTTATAAATGTTTACAGTATAGACGGTATATAACACTTTTTATGTGAAAAAACCTTATTGTTTAAAGTTGAGTTTATATTATACTTCTAGGAAAGTTAATATAGGTATGTCTGAAATAGCTGGAAAATAGATCCTAAATTCAGCCTATATACCCATCCCTGTTTCTCTTTACTCAAATACATGGGGGAAAAGTTCAGTTTATAATTAGTTTTATTTTTCTGAATAAGAATATAATATACATTTATTTTATTTTTTTTCAAATGAAGATAGTAGGAAAAATAGTCCTTATAACCCATTAGGTAGAGAAAAATCACTTAAAATTTTTAGTTATTTTT